AGCTGCACATCCCTCTAGTTGTTGTATGTGGGACGCAGCCCCAGCATGGCAGAAGAAGCGGTGTGTCGGTGCGCGCCAGGGATCCGAACCGGGCCGCCAGCAGCGGAGCACGTGCACCTAACTGCTAAGCCACGGGGCCGGCCCAATATACCACACTGTCTTGATTACTGCAGCTCGGAGTAAACCTTAACATCAGGCAGAGTGATTCTTCCCGGTTTATTCGTTTGTTTCAAAATTGTTTTACATATACTAGGGTCTTTCTCTTTCCATAGGAATTTTAGAATAAACTTGTCTATGTCTACAAAAAACCCTGCTGGGATTGTGATAGGATTGGTTAAACCTGTAGATCAATTTGGGGAGAATTGACAAGTCCTCTAATCCATGAATGTGATATGTTTCTCTCTCTTTTGTTTAATTATCCTATGAGATTGATGTTTTTCACTAAATTTAATGCCCTTGAGAGCTATCCAGGTTGTTGCATGTATGATAGTTCATTCTTTGTATTGCTGAGTAATTTCCCATGGTATATATGTACCACTCTTCAACTGTTCACCCATCAAAGGACATTTTGGTTGTTTCCAGTATTGTGTTATTATGGAAATTTCTGCTATCAACATTTGTGTACAGGCTTTTGTGCACATGTTTTCATTTCTCTGGAATAAATGCCCAAGAGGGTGATTGCTCTGTGACTTTTAAATAAATTAAATAAATTAAATAAATTTAATTTAAATAAATTAAAATTTTTACAACTTTGAACATTCCTCATGAATATTATTTATTGAAAGCCTTACTTTAAAAGGTCCACAATAAAACATCAAAAGGATGTTCCACAGATTGCTTTTTTTTTTTTTTTTACTTTTTCCCCCCAAAACCCCAGTGGATAGTTGTATGTCGTAGCTGCACATCCTTCTAGTTGCTGTATGCGGGACTCGGCCTCAGGATGAACGGAGAAGTGGTGCCTCGATGCGCACCCGGGATCCGAACCCGGGCCACCAGCATCGCAGCGCGCGCACT